AAGCAAACAATTAATTGCACCCTTCTGTTGACGAGACCGCATTCAATGCGGTAAGGTTCGGATATGAAAGGCAATAAATGCTCCTATTACGGAGCATTTATTACATCCTTCCCGAAAGGAGCATATTGTACCGTCGGCGTCCCGACGACTCAACGTTGATTGCTCGGGATCCCGAGCAGTCAATTAGAGAAGACATTTCTCATCAAATGATTACGCACGCTACCTGTGCCTGACGATCACCTACTGACCACACTGACAGCAATCATGATCTTCTAAGGTATAAATACCCCTCCCAAAAGACAAAGCGGGTATGCAATCAAAAACTCTCTACTACGAAATATCCTTCTCAGTGTTTTCTCCTTCCTCTCTCTCATTAAAAGACTGACTAGACCGTCGGAGGGGATACGCCGAAAAACACTCCGGCGCCCTTCTAACTTGTTCTCTTTTGTTCCAGGAAATACCTTTCGCACGTACAGGATCGTTCCTCCTTTCCCAGAATCTTCCTTCACCGTTTCCGGTTGCCACCGTACCTTGTAGGCTGTTTCAAGCGGTGTGTTTGACTACTCAACCGGCTCACCCAAAGTTCACCAGGGGAGAGATCTGTTCCCAATATTTTATATATCGTGCAGGATCGAGCCCGCACAGCATTAATAAAACTAGCCACACTCAACCCATTTTTTCGGTTAAGCAACAGTTGCAAGTACCGTAATTTATGTTCATTTGCAAATTAGTTTTTCCACGATAATACGGACCAATAGAAACTATTTCTGGTTCGTAGGCTTTCTCGTTTTCCCTGTGTAGTAGGCCATCCACTTTGAAGATTCGGGGCTCAAAGGGTGTGGACGACAAAGAAGCAAGCTCGTTGTTGATGGTAATAGACAACTGGCAGCTCATTTGCTATATCCCTTTGAAATTAACAAAGGCCTGGCAAATAGATATCAAAGAATTTGTCGAAAGATACCGTACTTCTCATTCACGAACACGAGATATGAAAACTATACTTACCAACAAAAAAAGAAAAGAAAAGAAACATGAAAGATGTAACCAGATTTTAGGGGTATAAAATTTGAAGATTGGGGGTGGAATTGAACAAATAATGTAAAATTTCTTCAACTTTGGGTAAATCACACTTTGACCACCTCAACTATGACCCTCTTTTAATATTGTCCTCTTAATTATTATATTTTTCATATTACATCCTCAGCTATTGTGGTTATTTTTACTATGCCCTAATAACTAACGTTTGTTACAAATTGGATAAAAAATTATTTTATTTTGTCACTCAAACTATATGACTTTTTTAAGTTTGTCCTGACATGTTGACAATTTCTGTCTAAAAAGATAACTAACATTTGTGTTTGGAGCAATTACCTCTCAACTATTATATTTTTTACATTACACCTTCAACTATGTAATTATATTTTTTTCACTTTGCCCCAATAAGTAACATCTGCTATAATTTGACAAAAAATAGTATTATTTTGTCCCTCCAACTATGTGACCTTTTCTTTTTCTTTTTCTCCTTCCTTTTCTTTAAAACCAAGAATGTCAAAACTCTTCAAAGTTGAAAGCTGGACTAGTGAAAATACTCAATCTTAAAACTGTTATGCAAAAGTCCTAGTGATACAGTTGTCAAAATTTCTCATTTCTAACCTACCATTGGAAAAGAAAGAGGGTTGAATGGAAAACCATACGATTCTAAAATTACATTTGAAGCTAGAAAAATTTAAAGGCCACAAAAGTTAGAACCTCTTGTGTTTGTTTTACCATTATGCTTATGTTTGCCTTACAAAATGGACAAATTCCCTGCATTCATTTTCCCTTCACAAACAAAAGGGAGAATAAAATTGTTACCTCAATTTTCTTCTTTTCTCTTCTCGAGTGGTAGATTTAGAGAACAAGGTAGGACTGTTATGTGTGTTTTTTTAAAACAACATTTTTAGAATTTAAAAAACACCACCACCCTTTCACCACCACCACCACCACATTTCTATTTTCATTGTTTAAATAAGTTTTACTGTTTTCTATTATGTAGAACTGTTTTTGGAATCATATAACAATAAGTTCTGCGACACTAAAATATCAAAATACAGTTTTTTTAAAACTCTTTCCAAAAACGGTTTTTAATACTATTTTTTGAAACACAGACTAAACATAGATAGAGCATAAGAAAACAAATAATGCTTAAGCAATTGTACAACTTACTGATTTCCCAATGGCTTCTTTTGCTCCTCTGCTTAGTCTTCTGAGCTGATTAATTTAATGAGGAATGTAACAAATGTCCAGTTCTTACATGCATAATTTTATTGTCCAGTTCCGATTCTCTAAAAGTGAGGGCTCCATAATGGGTTAGCTGGTATTTGGCCCCCATTAACAAAAACAGTATTGTGAACAACCTAAGGAGACAATAAAATGAGTTTCTATGCTCTGCTTCATATGTGCATAAACCAAAGAGGCATAGAATAACTTGCCACCAAGATCTTCTGAAGTTGGCCTGATGAACAAAAAGAGGCATAGAACAACCCAGGTCCATATGCTTTAAAATTCGGACCAATACAATCGTGCAATGAGAATGATGTGATTCAACCACATCACCTGTATGAACTCCATGTCCTCGTAAAGCAAAAAGGAGATGTGAAATTGCACACTCGAGCTTACACGTCACTTGAGTGTGCCATTTGACTGGACATTTGGACTTCCTAGACGAATATGCCCTCCACTATAAGACACGTGAACAACTAAAATCTGTGAGAAATCAAGACGCTGTTAGGCATGGGGACCATTTAAATTCAAATTGCAAACATTAGAGACTAATATGATANATTCAACCACATCACCTGTATGAACTCCATGTCCTCGTAAAGCAAAAAGGAGATGTGAAATTGCACACTCGAGCTTACACGTGACTTGAGTGTGCCATTTGACTGGACATTTGGACTTCCTAGACGAATATGCCCTCCACTATAAGACACGTGAACAACGCATGACCAAAATCCGTGAAAAATCATGATGCCATTAGGCGTGGAGACCATTTAAATTCAAATTACAACCATTAGAGACTAATATGATGCGATTGATAGGTTGGAGACCAAAATAACACATAATGTATACATTGAGGACCATAAGTATAATTAACCTCCCACCTCTCCCCCCTCCCTTTTTTTTATGAACACAATTTCTATGGTCACAAAAGTTTAAAAAAATCAGTAAGCAAATTCAAAGTACCGCTTTCAAAAAGGGCCTAAATTTGGATGAGTGGATGAGAGTTCAATAGACATACTTTTGCAATATCATCTTATTGCACTACCTGCTTGCTGCATCCAGGATATCATGTTACATTTTGTTGGTATGATCTGACGCTCTCTAGGCGCTCACACTCTTATAATTTTTTGAATTTTATCCTTTTTGCGCTTTTGCTCTGGCTCGCGTCTTTGCCCGTACTCCCACCTCCGCCCCCGCTCAATTTGATCAAGGCATAATTCTACTTTGTCATTTGATAATAAAATGAGAGATCAACTCCAATTAGTTATATCTTGACAACCCTATGTTCTTCCAAAATAATGTCCTAACAAACCTTATGTCCTTGCAAAATAAACCGCCTCTCGTGCAGCACAAATTTCTGCTACTTGTGCTTCGCAAAAAGATGTGTCTTTCTTAGACAAAGTTACCACAAAACTCCTTTTTTTATCCTTTATTACAACCCCCATTCCAATAGTTCCCCCCGAAAAAAAAACGGCCCCATCGAAATTGATCTTCAAAGTTCTGGCACTATGCGAATGCCAATGGGAAGCTGGTGACACATTTCCCCCTTGGGAACCTTTGTCCAAGGCCTGCTCATACTGGATGATAAACTCCTTGGCAGATCGGAATAAGAAGGTGGGGTTCTTGTTCTAATTCTACCCTTCCCCGAAGAGGACCTGATTTCTATGAGATCAAATGAGCCAACATTGCACTAGTAAAATCAGAAAAAGTTGGGGGCTTAGGCACTGGAACATCTCCCATTGCCAAAGGTCATGGCCATATTAAAAGTCCTCAGGTCTCGAAACCGCATACCATCCTTAGCCTTCCTCTTACACAGGTTAATCTATTTGGCTCAGTGAATCTTCCTTTCTCCTCTTTTTTGACCACACCATAAATTGGAAGCTGGAGACTTCAAATCACGACACAAGTATTCAGACAGTTTGAAGCAACCTCTTTCCCTGCTTTGGATAAAAATTATTCCTTCCAACCTTGGAGTTTTTTCCAAACCCTCTCTTGGATGCTAGCCAACGCCTCCTTCTTTGATTGACCCACCACTAATGGCAGCCCCAAGTATTTTTCATGTTGCTGAACCTGCACAACCCCTAATGCTGCTCTCACCTCCTCAGCAACCTCTTCTGTAACATTCCTACTACATACCATTGCAGACTTCTCCAGATTAATCTGCTGGCCTGAAGTTGCTTCATATATTCTCAACACCTCCTTCCGTCTGGACCACACAAAGATGATCGGACAAGAGAAAGTACCCTAAAAGAAATTTCAGTATAGTACCTCCAAATTTTACAATTTTAATGATTTATTTACCACAACAAAAATTTATAGCCTTTTGGGTCAAGTTATAATTTTTAAAGTTTGAATTATAAATTTTTTGGGCCAAGTTATAACTTTTGTTATAACTTGCCATCGATCCTAAAAATATTACAATCAAATCACCAAAAAAATTATAAAATTACACGATATGAACATAAACACAATACAATTTGATTGATACACAAATTAAGAATATGGCACATGCAATTCGTTTGTTTACTTATTAACTTAAAGTAAAATTTATTTTTGTTGTTAATAAATTTAATTTATTTTCAAATATGAATAAGAGATAGAGAAGAATAAATAACAAAATATAATTATTTCTTTGAGATGAGGAGAAAATATAGATAGAATAGAAGCGCCATACACGATTAAGAAATGTGATAGTATTTACATTTGTCTGAAAGGACAATCCTTACTTAGTTGATCTATCTATCTTAGAGCTGTAAGAGGAATTAGAATTTTTTCTTGCCTTACTTTCACACTCTTAAACTCCTCCTTATGATGATGATCATGATGATCATAATAATAATAGTAATAATAATAATAATAAAGGTACTTAGGAGAAACCAATAGCTAAAATTTAATATCAAAATACGCACAAAATAACATAGTTGAATGGGGTGTTTTTAGTAATTAGAAGATGTATAGGTGGAGTTTAGGAAGAAAAAGTGGATGAAGTGAAACTAGATGAATTAGTCTTCTTTTGATCATATTCAATTTTATCATCTCTAAATTGGATGAAAAAGTGGAAGGAAAGATAGGAATGAACACATGTAGACTACTTACTTTTATACCCCTTAAAAAAAACTTAAGCAAAGTTTGTTAATCAGATGAGTTGAACCAAAACGAGTATGAACACTGCTCTTTGGTGAACAAATTAAGTACGAACAGTCTAATGTTCAAATTGATTCATTTGCACTCCTTACAAATAGTCACCCAATTTACCTGGTCACCCGATATAATGGATCTAGGAAGCACAGATACGAATACGGATACATGACACGGGTACGATACGATACGGATACAGCGATACGACAAAACTTAAAAAAATAAGATACAAGTACGACCATGATACGTCTATAATAAAATATATTTTATATTTTATTATTATTTAACGACTTAGAAATTACAATTTTTCAATAATTCTTTAACATTAATAAGTAAAATTAGAAATTATTACCATGAAAATGTTATAATATCATCTCATTATGATCTGTTCATAAAATGAGCATGACAAATTAAAGGAATTATAATAACATTTAACTAGTTGATTTTACAAGTATTTATTTTTAAAAATATAGTGTAAGTGATTCATTTTTTTTATACCCTCTTAACATATAATAATAGATAATAATTAAAAAACACTCGTATTTTTAAAATCAGATGGAATTTTGTTAATGTTTTATATTGTATGTGAACTCCAAAGAAGGGTTATAGCTTAAAATTAAAAATTGTACATCTTACACCATGTTTAGAAGTATCCGCGAAGCATCCACATATTTTATTAATTAACGGATACGGATGATGCGTATCCGATACGTATCATCGAGTATCCGACGAGTATTGTATCCGATACGGTATCGGATACGGGTACGTCGAGCTTGACAAAGTATCCGTGCGTCATAGTAATGGACCCATAGGAAGATCCGTACAGGGTCCACCCAATAGTCACCCAATAACATGAACACTTTTTTGCTTATACTAGAAACTACGTTTCTAACTATTTTAAGTGATGTCCAAAACATTTACAAACCCACAGATTCAACTAGTGGCTTACAATATTTTTCACATCTAGAAATTTTACAATACATTTGTGAAACAACTGGTTAATCAAATAATCAGTACAACTTATTTGAAATATGATGCTTTTGCTTAAGGAGACAAGTAAATCAAATCGGACTTCAAATCAGACTTTAACTTGTAAGATAGAACATATAGTCTGTTTTATAGTCAACAAAAGCAACAGAGTAACACCAAAATATGAAATGTTAGATCACGGGTTGTTGAAATAATTATGCTTAAATTTGACCACGACGACATTCACAATACTTGTTAACTTTGTTGAAAGTTTGGGAGTAACAAAAAGATGCAGAATCTAGGATGACATTATTGCCCAATTTGTTCAACAGGGATGAAACGGCTTTATCATCACCTAGCCAATTGTCAATGATTCCACAGTGACTTAGCATTTCGGCATCCTTGGGAGAGTTGACGAGGCAATTTAAAAACTTCCTGCAATCAGTCACATAAGCTGGTTCATTTATGTCATTGTATTGCCCATAAGCAACTAAATTTCTACAAATGACCTCGGTACTATCAGAAATACTCAAAGGTGGGATTTTCATGATTATATTTTTGAATTCTATATCTAGCAATGAGGAAGTTTCTGTGGCATTTTTGAATTTAATCCCAGCCTCTTGAAGCTGTGTGGTGCATTTTATGTATTCTCATGTTCTTTCTTGGTCTTCATCGGCCCGACAAGAGGACACGATCGTTTTACACGAAGAACACCAAGTATCATGTACAAGGCCTAGTAGATGTTTGACATTCTCTCGTGGAACATTGGATGCGTTTGAATACCTTGAACTTTGGGAAAAAAGATGGGAGAAGATGAAGGGTGTCTGAGGAATGAGATCATTGATATCTAATAAATCACCGTCGAGTAAGCACTCGAGAATAAAAAATGGGAGTTGATTTTCAAATAAGAGTAAATCTTGAATTATATTTTCTTGGAACCTTACAGATTTCAAAATAGGATCATCCCTATTGTCTTCCTCGACAAGCTTGCGAAATACCTCTATCATAAAACACCCATCAAGAAGCATCATTCGCACAAACTCATCCTTTTCAAGTTCAATGGATTTTGCATAACATTTCTGTGCTTTTTCTTTCAAAGGGTGCATAGCATTGACGTATCTATCCACACTCAACTCATTTTTTTGCTTAAGTAGCAGTTGTAGGCACCGTAATTTATATTGTTCCATCATCTGTAGGTTAGCTTTACCACGGAGATAAAGACCAATAGCAAGCATTTATGGTTCATAAGCTTTCTCGTTTTCCCTACGTAATGAGCCATCCACTCTGAAGATGTAGGGCTCGAAGATTGTGGACGGTAAAGAAGCACGCTCGTTGTTGATGGTAATAGACAAGTGGCTCATTTGCTTTCCCTTTGAAATTAATAAGCTGGCCAAAAAGATACCAAAAAATGTATCCAAAGATACATTGTTTCACATCCACGAATGCAAGTGAGAGATAAAAACTATACCTACAAAAAAGAAAAAAAATTTGCACCTTGAAAGATTTTTTTGTTAACATTACACCCGAATGTCATAAATTGATTTTAACATGACACTCAAACTAACATCTCTTTCGGATTCCGTTAAAAATTGATGCACATACCCCACGTGTGTTGTTATAATATATATATATATATATATATATATATATATATATATATATATAGAAAGAGAGAGAAAATACATGAGAGATGAAAAAATTAAATTAAATCAATCTTTAAATATTTGAAAAGAAAATAAATTATTAATGAGAGATAGAGAAAAAAAAATAGGAGAGAGATGGAGAGAAAAGATGAGAGAGAGAGTCAAAGAATAAAAATTATGCATAATTTAAGGAATGATAAGTAAGTAAAAAAATTTAAATGTCATTTGAATTTTATACCCAATCACAAGATGATTTATTAAAATTGAATTTAATAGAGTAAAATACTTATCTATACACTTCCTCTCAAATAATAAGTCTTAAAAAATATACTTGCACTAAAAAAACCCGGGGCATGTTTGGTTTGTAATTCAAAAACAGTTTTTTGTTTTGTAGAACAACAAAACCTACAAAAAATATGTTTGGTTAGTTATTTCCATTTTCAAGTTTTAGAAAACACTCTCTCTAAAACAGCCATTTTTTACAAACAACTAAATGACGCTTTTCGTGTTTTCCCCTAAAATGGTTTCAACAACAATGAAAACACGGAGCTTCATTTATTGTTCACTTAAACGTACCATAGCAAAGGCATTTTATTTACTTTTTTCATCTATCATGAACAAGAGGTCGAGACACTGGAGAGAACTGGGAAGAGGTCTCTTCACACCGATGCTGTGATAATGTTTCAATGACAGTGATAACCACATTCAACGACCCTTCCATTGTTGATTTCAAGTATGGTAATCATATATTACTCTTTTTTTTTTTTATTCGT